CATGTAAATGTCCTTTAATTAAGTTAATCCACTGAGTACTATCATAATGAGAAGAGAATGAAAAAGTTAGACAAGTAAGTTTTAAACTTAATACGAGTTCATGAGATATTGTATCGATTATAAGGATTTCAAAGTAACCAGGAGAAAATATTTATATATATTTATAAATATGGCAAATTTATAAATAGATTAATAATTCAGGCTTTGGAAAACTTTAAAATATATCTTTTGTATATGACAACAATATAGAGCTATGACATATTTCAATCAGCATAGTGTGTGACGGTCATAACGCGTGGCCTTACTGGGCGGTCTTATAAAGGCTTGGGCGGCGCGCGTACCGTCCAACATACCCTGCCGAGCTTCCGCCAAGCTACGGCTGATCGGTGCTCTCTTGCTTGCCAAACTTTTAGCGAAATAGTTCTCTCTGCACTTTAGCAACTAATTCGTGTGATTATAAAATAGTATGAAGTATTTTTAAAAGACCGTGCACCGTGTTTTTACCGTAAGTATTGAAAGCATTTGAAGTAAATTTATCTTTCTTTTATTTTTACTTCTAAATAAGTTTCTTGTAAGTTTGAATATACAATACAAATTGAATACTATAAATAAATATAATAATTATTATTATTCAATCCAGAATAAAATAATCAGGTATATTTTCAAAATAATGTCTTTAATAATGCATTTAATTTTCGGGATTATATTAATATGTTTGTAAGTCAAATGTGTAAGTTCAAGTCAAATAAGCGTGTTTATACAATAAAAAAGAATTTCAGAGTGATATAAGCGATGTTAATTAAATTTTCAATCCATTTTCACTTTGAGATTGGTGGTTCTCAGGAATGTTATTATTTACTGTTTATTATTTAAGACAAATACATATTTGTCCTTATCATTTATCTGTCAATAACGCCTTAAATTCCGTAAGAGTGGGTCGTGTTTTATAACATTTCTCAAATAGATTTTACCATCACAAATACGTTCTCATTCATTGTTACAATTCAAATAACTGACTACACTCAAAACGGTATTAAATATACCATCATAATCACATATTTTTCTTGTATATTTTATTCTGATTATAAATTAATTAGTAAAATATTTGATAAAGCAAATAAAAGAATAAAGTGACCTAATAATTCAACTAAAAGATACGGAGTTCATATTTCTGTCTTATACGTATAAGTAATTTGTTTAAGTACACCATGTATATATCACCATTAATTTATAATTTATTTTTAATGAAATACACACTATATATATTATGTGATACGTACTATATAATACATTATAGATGTATGAACTTCTCGCATTTTAGTTTTAAAAAGGTTCGGAGACTGCAATTCTTGAGAATCTTCCACTCTAGATACACATTTTAAATCAGTGTGAAATGCACATTGATTTATATCTGAAAAAAATTTATCTAATGTATTTGTAAAGAAAATTGCTACGCTAAATTTAATTTTCATTGATTAGAATACCGAATATTCACATTAACTTCATTTCTTTGAACATAAGCTTTCTCCCAGATTTTAAAATTGAGAAAACATTTGGTTAGTTATTATTATTATTAAAATTTATGTAAATGAACGCTGGAGAATATTATAAAACAGCCACCTGATTTGCTCTATCGTAGTCATTATTATAATATATAGATATGAATTTTGATAAGCATCCTGTTGAACATTATGTTCTAAAATATCCGGGATTGTGTATTATCTATGTAATAAGGAGTAAGGTTCTTTCTCCATAATTTTTTTTATTATTCTTGTATTATTTTCACTGAATACTCTTGAAATAAATTCAAAACATCCCCAGCAATTAAAAATAATACTAATAAATTAAACCCTTACCGCGTCACTCAAAAACCGCTTAACTGATATTAAATTCGTTTATTCCACTTAACGCCTTCAAGGTTATCTATCATACCTTTTTTATTTCATAAAATTCAATAGTAATACTAACAGTCGAACATCTAAGAACTAAAGTGTTTAAAATATCGTTATGATCATTGTTCATTGTAATTTACATTATTACTTATTAAATATAAATGTTAAGTAAATGTAATTGCAATAATTGTCGTTAATACTGAATTGATAATTATATTTATCAAATGCCTTTATTTTTGATTTTTAAAGCAACTATCTATTTCAGGAGCATGCTGCATGTTAAATAATTTCAATATTTTTATCATATATCGATTTCATTTATTTTCTGAAATTTTATACATGTTTAAAATTAAAAAAAATATGGATTAGTACATAATATTTTATATTAGTTCATAAAATTCGTAAAATACTTTATTTTAAGATATTTTAATTATTTAATTACTTACATCCCTAAGTAAGGATGAAATCGATGCCCAAAATATAATATAATAATATATGCATGAGCTACAATATAACAACTGGCGAGAAATCAAGCAAAACCGAGACACACTTTGGGTCTTTGACCTAATAAAGTAGGGAGAAGTTGTAGTAAAAGACTCAAAAATACAAAATTCTTAGTGAAGCTCATTTAAAAATGTAGAGCTAATTTCACAAATGTTTTAGAGCTTTTTTTATGTGAAATTGTAAGAAAGAATAATTACTGTATTTTACAATTAATTATGTTTAAGTAATATAAGTATTATCTTATGGTGGTTGGGCCACGCAGCAGCATCGGTTGTTGCACGAATGGGAAGGCCCAACCGGGTAAGTACCACGACCTCACAGAAGACCAGCGTAAAGTGGAAGTATGACAAATACTTTCGCGTTTCGTCTGGTGAGTGAGGTAGCCGGAGCCCAATTTTCAAAGGGTTGTCAAAGCATCTGTAACTCTCGGGTGTGGCAGATGTCCATGGGCGGCGGTATTCACTTATATAAGTAATATAAACCATTTTCGGGATGGCTTTGAGGGTTCATACCATCACGTTTTTGTATACGACGTTACCACACGTGGTAGTAGAATTGATACTAACAACATAAATGTATACGAGATGAATATAATAAAACAATGTCAATTATTCACAGAATCGATGCCGGTTTCGTTTTCTAATGCGAAACACAACGCCGATTTCGTTATGATATTCGGGCCCTCGCTTTGCTTCTCGTATGATAACAACTTGACACTTTGAGGACGGGAGCGCAATATTTTACTTTACTCGAAAGGTGTCTTAAGATGGTATTATTATAGGTCCCCCAAGGTATTAATTAGTTAAAGTTTTGCAAGCGCGTTTGTAATACTAAAAATGCATCAAAATAACACCTTAGCTTTCTATTTTTATATCAAATATTAAAAAGAATAAAATCAAAGGCCTTTAAATTTCAGTCGGCTATTGTTATGAGAACTATAATGAGAACATGTCAAAATAAACCTCCGTGACCGCATTTAACGCAAATTCGTTTAGCAGTCAGCAGGAATAATTATAATTTAGTTCCAAAATACTGTAGTATAATTGAGAATAAATAGTCTGATGTTAAAAGAACGAAGAACGCTCCAAAATAGACAGTGGATTAGATAACTTTACACCCGCATGTATTATCATATGAAATTATGCGCCAACCTTTTGTCAATGTGAGACATTTCCCCTTGGAATTGTGTTTTCTCGAGCTAAAAGTGTTCTATGTGTTAATTGCGAATTTCATATGGCATCGCTTTTGCATATGATGGTTTGCACTGAGATTACTCAGTGGGTAAACTATCAATTAATTCATTCGCCTATTGTTTATATAAACCCTTTCTCATATGCATATCTTTATATACATACGTTGTTTAAAGCCATGGAACTTTTGCGTTACTTCTTTAACCAATTAATTCTGAACTAATTAGTTATATCTAAATAAGTACAGCTAAGTTTTCTTGCTAACCAAATGTTAAATCATTGTTGAAATATAATAAAAATCAAATTGTGAATTTTATGAACACGTCTAAAAAAATAAAATATACATTATATTGGACAGAGCATTGCATTTATATATAGTTTTCAAAGCTTCAGTTAAATTTTTACTTACTTTCATTGTAATATCACTCGACACGAAATAACTCAGTGTATAAAAGTATCGTAACATGTAATTACAACAACAGAGTTAAAAGTAGTAAGGGATAGTAAAACGAACTGCTCTTTGGATGTTCTTGAAACATTCCTCAACTCTATTTATTTATATGTCCAACGGATAGCCAAGGCTTTCACTGTATTGAGATAGTGTTTTTTTTATATATTTTTAGCGATGTTTTCATTCACCGTCGATCTCAAGGTAAATCGGTACCTATATAATTATAGTTAAATAAAATGTCTATATTTATTAAATTTTCGTCCTGTACCTGTTCGGTACTGAGCTGTATCCACCTCAATTGTATCAAATATCGATTTCGAATTTCATTGGGAAATTTGTGAAAAGTATCACAAGCAAGTTTTTTTTATAAATATTTCATTTAAATAACTTCAAAGCTAAAAGAAAACCTATTTTGTATGAAATAACAGTATTCTGTCTTAAAATTAATTGAAACATATAAAAGACCTTTAAAAAAAAAAGAAAAGGCAACTTTGTTTCATCGATTTTAAAAATTACTATTGACTGTTGTTGTCAAGATTGGCATTCGTAGGGTGGAAAATGCCACCTTTTACTAAAGTTACTAAAGTGGTGCTTGCTACCTCACTCACCAGATGAAACGCGAAAGTGTAACACTTCCACTTCACCAATCTTCTGTGAGGTCGTCGTACTTCCCGGATGGACCTGCCCATTCGTGCAACAGCGTAGGCAGTTGCGTGGCCCAAACACAGCCTTTTATTTTTTTTTTATGTGAAAAGTTGGCAATCGAGCAGAAGGTTCACCTGATGGTAAGTGAATACCCCCGCCCATGGACATCTACATTCGAGGGTTAAAGATGCGTCGACAACCTTTTGAAAATTGGGCTCCTTTTATGAAGTCGAGAGGAAAATTTTACGTTTGCACATGGCGATTGAAGAAATATTTTCACATTGTCTCCACAGGTAATAATTGAACTGTGCCAAAAGGATGATGCTGTTAGTGCAGCTTCTTGCCGTGGCCGTGTCGGCGATTCTTGCGTCACCCGCGATACCGGCGACTTTCCCCGAAGACTACAGTCGAAATCCAAACGTGTATGACGTGAGCGATGTACGTATCAATGACTTAATAATATCAAACCATTTAAACATGTTTTTGAGCTATAGCTATTTATTCTGGAAATTATGGCAGTACGTGTGGCAACGTCAAAATTGGAACACTTAATTCTTAGATTCCTATTACACTTATTCAGTCTTTGGTTGAATAATGCCTTAGTGGGAAAGTAACTAATGGAACGTATTTAAAGTATGTCATTAATTATTTTACTAACAATTAAATGACGAAAACATTTTTGTCTTACTTTTCTGTTTCATTATTTATACACTAATTTAATTATTATTATCGTTATTCCTAACTGATCTGAATCGAAGGTTATTTTTAAATTGCATCCCTACCCGTATATGAATTCCATAAGCGAACTCAAACTATATATGTATTATATTTACATAAAACAAAGCTTGGCTAACACAAAATATGGCATGTTTAGGTCGTTAATGCAAGTTAATGTATGATGTTATCAATCTTACCATATTATTATTTACGTACCAATGTGTTCTATTAGACGAATCGTTTTCGGTGTTATTACTTGATTACAATATAAGCTTCAGTAATATGAACCACTAATCGTTAATTCATAAACATTTAATGCCTACACGAAGTCGATTCTAAAGCTCTAAAAGTTCTCGTATTAATATAGATGTACTCACGTGAAGGGTTAAATTGCTTCTGACTCTTCATTGGTTCGATAGTTTATTTATTACTCTTAAAACTTTAAATTGAAAATTAGAAAAGTTGGCGTTGATATTGTCTGATTTACATTTTCTATACAGGGTCGACCTAAATTGCTATATAGAGTTACTTGGTTTAAATGTAAAATTACTGTATGATTATACCGTTATATTCAGAATAGCAAGAAGATTATCGCATGCCGTTCGTATTTCTTATTTTTGAACTATGGCACCGTCATTTGATTTTTTCTTCTATTAAATGTATGTTTGCGTTATGTATTGACAAGCCACGACCACGTCATTTTAATCGAATTGTAATTTTATCAATGTTGAAGTGCAAGATCGGTTTAATATAATTTAATAAAAAGAGTGTAATTAAAATACATCTCTTATTAAATTTGATGATGATTGCAAGTTTATTTGTTTGTATTTCTGTTTCTTAGTTTATTTTATATATTCCTAGGCGGGCTAAAGGTTATGGGACCTTTTTTTCTTTAAAAGTAGTTATTTTTTCGGTACTCAACTAACAGATTTCTAAATTGTATCTTTTATGATAGAGTTAAACATGGACCAGTTATAATTTGATTCTAATCTAACTAGAATAATAATTATGTAATTTAATATATTCCGATTTTAAATTCCACTACAGTTCAAATATATTAATGACTACGATTTTTATTTTCTATATCACAGCAAGTGATAGTTCCTCAAAAACGCGCCGCTTTGGTGCTTGACCGGTTGCTCGTAGCGCTACAGAAGGCGCTACACGAAGGAGGCGGGCAGCGCTACGACATAGATCGAGACGGCCCGCGCACGGCACCGCTACGCGTCTCTAGCATGGAGACGAATGATTTGGTTAGCGTTTTTCATTTGTTTATTTATACTATTTTGCTTTGTATGTGTAATGTTTGAGATCTCATAGATTCTATCTGGATAACAAAGCTATTAGTGTAGACGTATGGTAAATTATAAAAAAATATTTTCTTTATTTTTGTCTCTTTTAATAGTATTTGTTTAAAAAAAAGTTATCTTCTGCTCATAGTTCAGTTTGGTTTAATAAACTTAGATTTTTTTGTGCTATAATATTGGTAATACTTGTATATTTAATTAGCTTTATTATTCGACACCCACATGAATGCGTTCGATTGTCTGTTTAGAACAGAAGTGCCATTGTGAAGGATTTATTTATTTATTCCATTTTAATTTAGGATATATGAGATGGGAGTTTTTTCATACTTTGACGAACTTTAATTGTTTTTATTTTTTTCCAGTCTGCTCTACAACGACGCGGGCAAGGTCCCGGTAGGGGACGGGTGCTACGGTGCTACTTTAACGCAGTGACATGTTTTTAACATCGCATCCCTTCATACTCCTATATATGTTTGTGTGCTACGATCGTGCATTTTGATATAGTAATTATTTCATATGTAATTTAATAATTCTTGATTCTTAAACGTAAATATGTTAACAATTTCATCAATTTAAATCGATTTGTCATTTACATATTTAATATATTGCAGTAATACAAGTCATAAATCACATTAAACGTTATACAATGTGCGCAATCAAAAAACTTGCCAACGTGTTTATAGTTTATAATGCCTTAAAGTGTTCGACGTAATAACTTTTTTGTGTATATGAAGGTATGTATCTTTTAAATTAAATAAAGTATGAAAATGTATGTCTTAATTATTTTCTGTATGCCAATGAAGAAGAAGAAGAATTACTTCACTGTTTGATAACGGCTATCTTGTCGCCATATTGTGACAGGCTAGTAGATCAGACATGTTAACAGATGAATTTTCCGAAAAAAGACTATTTTTTTTTAATTAGAAAATAGATTTTTTAAGACATACTTATTTCCCTACACCTCTGCTTTATAGCTACAGTAAATAACTCTTCTACACAAATATAAAAAGTTTTTACAGTGAATAGAACGATGATTAACTTGGATCTATATGGATGGATGGAAATATAATTTGCAGGCATTGCAAGGGATCTCACTGACTATAGTCTGATTAAAATTAGAAAGGCTCCAAAGAAACAAAAGCGACTTGCAATAAAACGGAGAGCATTAAAACATTTTGAATGAAATAATATATTTAAGTGCATACATAACATATTTTCATGCCTATCGATGTGGTGGATAACATGTATACAAACTTCCATTTTTTAAGTATACAGGGGATGGTTTATTTGTCATCTGTCTTTAAGAAACCGAAACCAAAATCGAAAGCTGTCAGGTCATGGTGCATGTTGTAGATATGCCGAAAAAATATCGATCTATCCATATTTTTTTTGGCATATTTTTTTTCGATATAATTATCAAGGCCTATATTGATATTTTTATAAATATCGATATATTGATATATTTCTTAACTTTCCGGATTCCTAGCATGTTGGTGCCCTGAAGATGTGAACTGGAATAATAAATTTCAATCTAAAATCAATTTTATTCATACTGATTAACTCGTCATACATTACCTTTAAAAAATAAACATTAGGTTTCGTGGGACATACGGTTGAACCGAATTCTTTTCGCTATATATATTGATGCATTAAATAACAGGCATAATGAAAGATATACAGTTTTATTTTGAAAAATAAATATTTTTTATGTATTGTTGAAATATAAAATTTTATAGTATGAAAAATTTTGTTAAAATTCTAAATACAAATTATTAGATAATATTCCTGTCCTCATGTGAACTCACAGGCACACAAAAACCCATACTCGTATTTAAACCAAAAAGGGGACGCAATTTCGTGACGGTCCAATCTTTTACTTTTTTCGGCCCACGTCTCATTTGCCAAATGCCAGTAACGTGTGACAAGGAACTTTCTTCCAAAAGGACAAATTAATGAAACTCCATTTCTTGAATTATTTTTCCTTCCTAATATTTGGGGAGAGTCCTGCAGTATCGTCACCCTAAGGGTTATTTAGAATAATATGAAAAATCTTTGAGTTCCGTGTTTAATACCTGCGTAAAGAAACTCCCTTTGCTGTAAATAAATATAATAAAATATCGATTCTCGTTCTTTTAATTCTTTGCCTTATTTGCTGTCATCTTCTCGTTACTGGACTGATGAGGTAATTTTAACTTTTCCAGTAATTTGAAAAGCGAAATAAATGACTTCATATCTGTTTAAAAGTACACAAAAATGAACTTAAACAATGGCCAGTATTATATTATACCCATATAAAAGACTAATACATGCCTGGTTCGACTTATTTAAAACTCGTTATTAAATCTCAGCAATCGCGGACTTGATTTGTGTGTAATACTTTCACTCATGGCACTGACAGTAAGCAGGACGCAACAAGTCACTAAATCAAATATGAAAATCTATTACATAAATGGCAAAAACCGTCGCAGCACCATCTATTGTAGGTTTTTATAAATTGCAACTGGCCGGTACTGTACACTGTACATTCCCCTAATTATTAAATTGGTAAACATCAATTTATTATTGTTCAATATTTTTATGTAATATCTTTGATCAATTTAATTCTCCTACTAATATTCTTCTGCATTTTTAGTAATATCCTCTAAGCTAAACGATTTGTAGTCAGTTAAAGCGACTCAAAAGCGCTAACTGCAAAGCCTCCTTCATACTATAGGAAGTTTCAGAAGAAGAAGTTTCGTCTAACGTAGTTCTATCGATCGATCACATTTAGATAATTATACGTGATACATAAAACACTACTTAAATTACTAAAAAATTGGAAACATTTAAGCCACTGGTTAATCATCATCATCAAACCGCAAGAAGTCCACTGTAGAACGCCACAACGAAGGACACTTTGCCATTTGCATCCACCAGTTGCTCATGACTCTCACGATGTCGTGGGTCCACCTTGAAGGAGACCTACCAACGCTATGACTTCCGGTTCGTGGTCAAATCTCGAGAACTTTTATTCCCCATCGGTCGCCAGTTCTTCGTGTGATGTGGCCTGCCACTGGTAAAACGTGGTAAAACTAGTAAAAAGTAAATGTTTTTAATTTAAAAAAAACTCTCATTTGGAGACTTTCATTATATGAGAACGATACGAGTCAATGACAATATACACATAAAAGAAGAACAATTTTTATCAAAAGACGTTTAAATATTCCTTTGTTTACGTTATACCTAGTCGGGTCAAAGTTCTGCCAACATGTTTATTGTGAAATAATAGATTCATGTTTATTTTACAGTAACCACTTATAGATCAAAAGGAACTTACCAAAACAAAGTTTCTTATACTAACTAAGCTTATTCATAATAAACCCCGCGATTTTGAATACAAGCCTTAAACCTGCGCGTATGATGCAACGCGATAACTAACTCGGCCTACTTTAAGCGGCTTTAAAAAAAGATAAAATTCGAATAGATCGATAGAGAATAGTTGAAATTCGTATAGTACATATTTCCATTACCATGAAACATTCAAAATTCAATTTTAATAAATATTTTTGTGGCCAGAACTCAACATTCAAGATTTCATTCTGTGACAGAACATATGACCAGACTAGGTATTATGTGGCTGGGATGTCGTCGTTGATGTGGTTAAGGCGGACTTTTTATCTGTTTTATATTTATATCCGAATATATATATGATAAATCAATAAATATCTTTTTGGATTGCATTGAAATTTGAAAGATTTTTTATTCTTTCTTTATTATTTATTGTACACAAAACACAAGATACAAAAGAAAATGAAAAAGTTAAAGGTATGTAAAATAGGTAAGTTTAACTCAATACATGAATTCTCTACCAGCTAAACAAAAAAATGTATTTATCTTAAACTTATTACCCGACTAAGTATTCATTATTATAAGCAGCGAACTAGTATTAACTTTCCACTTATTTTAAGCTAACCTACCCGGATAGCAGTCAGTTTACCAGCGAGTTTGTAAGGCTTCGATGTTCTGCAAATTTTTCAAATGGCTAGTTCATAGAATTTTGTTAAGATTCCCAGATCTTAATATTCGTATACATGCAGATGAATAATACCGACATCTTGCGTTAGGTCGGCGAAATAAATGCGTGATTGGCTACCAAACAACTTTTATGACTGAAAAGTAACTTATGAAGGCTGATGAAAACTACGTTAGTGGTTTTCAACATAAACAAGAGAGGGCTCTTGTTTATTTTCAAACAACTAATTTTATTTCCATAATTTTACACAATTGGCCTAAAAACTACTAGGCCAAGGTGGGTACAATTGTATTAGGGCGTGGTAATTTATCGTAAGCTAAAATTGAGTGTTATGGAGATTATGCCCAACTAAACTTTATTACAAATAAATTTATAAAACACCACTGCGGATTGGCGGACTTTTTTCGCCGGCTCCAGGGAAACTCATAAACTTATATTGAATTCAAGGAGCTCCCGGACAAAATTTATTATTTTATTTGTAATAAAGTTTAATTTAGACAGAGCTGGGTGAAACTCATTGGAAAAGGAGGGAAAAATAAATTACGGGCGTTAGTTATTAGTTCGGGAAGCGGGGGGGGGGGGGGGGTGATTTAAGGGTAAACACGGTTTATCGATTTCCGGCAAAACTACAAGACCTATGGAATAAAGTTAAATAGCAAAGTTGTAGGTAATAAAAAGATTTACAACTTTTGCTTTAACACTTTTTTCATATAACCTCAAAATTTCTCAAAACTAATTCGTAACGTAGCTGTTGATCATAATATATTTGTCAATTAAAAAGATTATACAGTTTATTGATCTAATATTTTCAAGATTAAATCTATCTAAAATTACACATTATCTAATAAACCTAATCCACCCGGCATGGTGCCAAGAAGGCTAGCTGCATTTCCTTTGCTGAAAAGTTATGCTTAACCTTTGAGCGAGAATAGAACTAGCCCTCTCTTGTCACAGCGGCGGCGTTAAGCCTAGGACATAAACTTTTAAAAAATGTTGATCGATAATCCCCCGACCTAAAGTTTTCAAGGCACAAATAACTATGTAAAATTACGCTTTTTTTAAGATGAAAATCAATTTCGTTCAAAAAGTCCGCATTTCCAAGTTGGACTCGAGCGAAGAGATATGTTTTATAGATACGGCATGGTGCCAAGAAGGCTAGCTGCATTTCCTTTGCTGAAAAGTTATGCTTAACCTTTGAGCGAGAATAGAACTAGCCCTCTCTTGTCACCAGCGGCGGCGTTAAGCCTAGGAAATAAACTTTTAAAAAATGTTGATGTGCGGATAATCCCCCGACCTAAAGTTTCAAGAACAAACGGCACAAATAACGTAGCTTGAGTTCAGTTTAATTCATTAGCGCTTTTTTTAAGATGAAAATCAATTTCGTTCAAAAAGTGACCGCATTTCCAAGTTGGACTCGAGCGAAGAGAT